GCTGACTTGGCACTTAAGTGCACTTTTTTATGAAGAAAAAGTACAATGAACTGCTTTTCCTCAAGCAATAATTGTTTCCAACTTGTCTGGGAATTGTGTGTCTGGTAACTTGAAGGCCTTCCACTGTGGCAAATGGAGGCTTTTCACTGCCTGTAGAGACAATACAGTAAGCATAGTTAAGGGGTGGGTCCGAACATGTTAAGATAACTTACTGTATATGTATTCCCTTGTATTTTGTTAAAGCTGGAACATTTGATATTTTTCCATTTATTTATGAAAAAATATGAACCTATTTTCATTTGTACAAGGTAATTGTTTTTTAAAGCAAGTCACCTTAGGGTGGCTTTAATTGTATAAGTCAAGCACATGTAATAAATTCAAAACCTGCAGTTAACAGGATATCAGACATCAATCCTGGTAACCAAATATTAAAGATTCTCTTTAAAATAAAAAGACTGAACATGTTTACAGGTTTGAATTAGGCTAAAAGGTCTTGTAGTGGCTTTTCATGCCCCTTCAAATTGGAATGGAACTACTGTACTTTGCCATTTTTCTATAAATCAGTATTTTTTTTTAATTTTGATATAATACATTGTGTGAAAAAAGAAAATGGCTAATAAACTGTATTAAATCTTAAACAATGTATAAAGATTGTACTTAGCCAGTTCAAAGTGTATATTTATTCATAATGAATTATAACAGTTATATTTTTGTGTTTTCTTGTAAATGTTTCTTTTCCCTTAAATACAGATAATTCATTTGTATTGCTTATTTTATTATGAGCTACAACAAAAGGACTTCAGGAACAAGTAATGTATTAGTATGGTTGAAGATTGTTGATATGAACTGTCTCAAAAGGATGGTGGTTATTTTAAATATAAATAGCTAATGGGGGTGGTAGGCCTTTAAAATTAAATGCCTTGTATAGAATCCAAAATGAATGCAAAATTGTTTTCACTTGTATTGACTTTATGTCGTATGATTCCAATCTCTGTTCTGTTTGGCACTTGTATTTAATTCTTCACCTTTGTAAGACATTTGTATATTGCGGATGTGTTCATTGAAGCTATTTAATACCTGGCACTGTTAATACACAGTACTTTATTGTACAGACTGTTTTACTGTTTTAATTGTAGTTCTGTGTACTTTTTTTGAATGGGGCTGGCATGTTTTATTTGTTTCTGGCAATACGACATGTGAGAATTTCAATGCGTTTTGTTGTAGATGCTAACGTGTCAGAATCCTTTACATTCAACTTTTCTAAGAAAAGCTTTTTCAGTCTTGTAGTGTGTGCTTACAGTAACTAATTTTGTTGAAAATGGTTTCAAGTTATTCAAATTTGTACAGGACTGTAAAGATTTGTTGACAGCAAAATGTTGAAGAAAAAGCTTATAGAATAAAAGCTATAAAGTATATATTAGGATCTGCAAACAATGAAGAATTATGTAATATATTGTACAAATGTAAGCAAAGGCTCTGAAATAAAATGCCATAGTTTGTGAATCCTTGATTTTTGTTTCTAAAAGATTTAGTAATTGTAGTTCATTTCTGTATGTGATGACTGACTGGAACATACATATCCAGCATGTATTATCACGGGATTAATTGATACACAAAAAAGGGAAGAGTCTACCTATGAAAATTAAAAGTCTATTAACCAGATAAGGAATGTATTAGACATTCTTTTTTTTTTTGGACATGGAGTCTTGCTCTGTCACCCAGGCTAGAGTGCAGTGGCGCAATCTCAGCTCACTGCAACCTCCACCTCCTGGGTTCAAGCAGTTCTCTAGCTTCAGCCTTCACGTAGCTGGGATTATAGGCACCTGCCAGCACACCTGGCTAATTTTTGTATTTTTTAGCAGAGACGGTGTTTCACCATACTGGTCAGGCTGGTCTCAAACTCCTGACCTCATGTGATCCACCCACCTTGGCCTCCCAGTGTGCTGGGATTACAGGCATGAGCCACTGCACCCGACCTAGGCATTCTTTTATCTTTGCATACACTATTTTGCTTGAGTCTGAATTTAAATATTTTTCTTACCACTTGGAGAATTGTCCAAATTAGAAAATTATTATTTTTTTATTTAACACTTGAAACCATTACCAGCAGCTTTTAAAAAATTTTTAATTTAGACCCTTCGGGGTCTTTTATACTTCAGTGTGTTCTATTGCACATTGCAATCATCTGGACATTGTTAAAAGTATATTCAGTACTCACACCCCACTCCCAAGGAGTTATATTTAATTGGTTGGGGGTAGTACCTGGATGTTGATCTTTAATTTTTAAGGGTCTCCGGTGGTACTAATATGCATCTGGGTTGAGGAACACTGCTTTGCCGCAGACTTTTAAAAATCCATAATCTAGTTTTTTTGGCCCCACTTATTGGACTTTCTACCAAAAGAAAACCTTTCTTTAATACAAAGGCCAGGCGTGGTGGCTCAATACCTGTAATCCCAGCACTTTGGGAGGTCGAGGCGGGTGGATCACCTGAGGTCAGGACAAAACCAGCCTGACCAACATGGTGAAACCCTGTCTCTACTAAAAATGCAAAATTAGCTGTTCATGGTGGCACATGCCTGTAATCCCAGCTACTAGGGAGGCTGAGGCAGGAGAATCGCTTGAACCCGGGAGGTGGAGGTTGCAGTGAGCCGAGATTGCACCATCGCACTCCAGCCTGGGCAACAAGATCAAAACTCAGTCTCAAAAAAAAAAAAAAAAGAGAAAGGAAATAAACTTTTTTAAGGCCTAGAAAGCTCAAATACATATTTTTTAAAGCATCTTTGTGGTGGCCCTTTATTTTCACAAAAATTAGTTTAAGGGATGATCTTTTAAATCTGTGGAACGATGCTTCCCAAAATGAATTCCTAGAATACTACTCCCTGGAAATGCTCTGGGAATTTATAACCAAATACATTTTGGGAAATCTATGTATAGCACATTCTTTTCTTAGAGAACCACAGTGTTTGCATATTAAAAACTTTGAGAGATGGCCTGTGAAGAGATACCTGCCTAAATAACTTCCTTTACCCTACTGTTTTCAATCCTACCTAATCATGAAACCCTGTTTTTTGAAGCTTTTAATATCATGTACTGAGTATGTTATAGAAACAGTGCTGAATAGGGGAATTGTTCCAAATTTTGTTGGAGTCGAGAGTAATACCCTTGTGCCTCTGTCTCACCTGCCTTCTTGTTCTACTTCCTAGCTTCTTAAGAGGGTTTGAGGATTTTATTGCATTAGTAGAATTGACCTATGTCTACTTCTGGTCACCTAAACTAGACTTTACTAAGTTAGTTTACAATTAACATATTAAGATTGTATGTTTTTCTTTTTTTTTTTCTTTTTCTTTTTTTGAGAAGGAGTCTTGCTCTGTTGCCCAAGGCTGGAGTGCAGTGGCACAATCTTGGCTCACTGCAACCTCCGCCTCCCAGGTTCAAGTGATTCTCCTACCTCAGCCTCCCGAGTAGCTAGAACTACAGGCACGCGTGTCACCACACCCGGCTAATTTTTGTATTTTTAGTAGAGGGGGTGTTTCACTGTGTTAGCCAGGATGGGCTCCATTTCTTGACCTCATGATCTGCCCGCCTCAGCCTCCCCAAAGTGTTGGGATTACAGGTGTGAGGCACCACACCCGCCAAGATGACAGGTTTCTTTCTTTTTTTTTTTTTTTTGAGACGGAGTCTTGCTCTGTCGCCCAGCTGGAGTGGCAGTGGCCGGATCTCAGGCTCACTGCAAGCTCCGTCTCCCAGGGTTACGCCATTCTCCCTGCTCTCAAGCCTTCCCAAGTAGCTGGACTACAGGGCGCCCGCCACCTCGCCGGCTAGTTTTTTTTTTTTTTGTATTTTTAGTAGAGACCGGGTTCACCGTGTCAGCCAGGATGGTCTTCGATCTCCTGACCTCGTGATCCGCCCGTCTCGGCCTCCCAAAAGTGCTGGGATTACAGGCTTTGAGCCACCGCGCGCCGGCCGATGACAGGTTTTTTTAACGGTGTTTCTCTAAAATGTTTTTTCTTTTTTTTTCTTCCTACTGAAAAACTTTAGAGTGGGGTCTTGTTATATTCTTTTTTTTTTTGTTTTAGACAGAATCCCATCTGTTGCCCAGCTGGAGTGCAATGGCGCAATCTCGGGCTCACTGCAACCTCTGCCTCCCGGGTTCAAGCGATTCTCCTGCATCAGCCTCGACTAGCTTGGGATTAACAGGACGAACATCACTTACGCCCAGCTCCTAATTTTTGTAAGTTTTAGTAGAGATAGGGTTTCACCATGTTGGCCAGGCTGGTCTGAAAATCCTGACCTCAGATGATCCACCCACCTGGGCCTCCCAAAGTGCTGAGATTACAGGCGTGACCCACTGCACCCGGCCTCCTTTTGTTTTTTTGTGACGGAGTTTTGCTCTTGTTGCCAGACTGGAGTGCAAATGGTGCAGTCGTGGATCTGAAACTCCTGGGCTTGCATTCCTTCCGCCTTGGTCTCCCAAAGTGCTGGGATTCTAGGCGTGAGCCACCTTGCCCCACCATGTCCTCATATTTCAAACTCTCAAAGCGGTCAGTGATCTCTAAATGGTTAAAAACAGCACTGAATGGCAATGAAGATAATTTTAAAACTATCTCCAACCACAACTTCTTTCGTAGTCTGTTTTCTTATGTAAGTATCTGCTACCTAGCTGGGTGTGGTGGGTCATACCTGTAATCTCAGCAAGCTGGGAGGTCAAGGCGAGAGGATCATCTGAGGTCGGGAGTTCGAGACCAGCCTGACCAACATGGAGAAACCCTGTCTCTACTAAAAATATATAATTAGCCAGGCGTGGTGGCACATGCCTGTAATCCCAACTACTCGGGAGGCTGAGGCAGGAGAATCGCTTGAACCGGGGAGGTGGAGGTTGCAATGAGCCAAGATCAGGCGCGGAGCACAAAGGTGCCCCTATAATTTGTTTTCTGTAGAGAGGAAGTCTCGCTAGATCGACCAGGCTGGTTTCAGACTCCTAGTTCTCACGCATTACTCCTGCTTCGGCCTCCAAATGTGTTGGGATTACAGGCGAGCCACCGCGCCTGGCTGCAAAGAAAACACTAAGTTAGACAGTATCTGAGCTAGGCCTTGAAGGATGGGCATTATTTTGCATAAGGGGAAAGAGGAGGGCAATTACAACAAAGGGGACAAGAATAACAACTGTAGAGGCGGTGGAAAAAGCAGGCTAGAATGTCAGGGGCTGGAGGGAGATGAGTCTGGGAAGACGGGCTGAGAACACCTTGAAGAGTTTTGAATGCCAAGTATCTACTTTTCCAGGGCCGTATTACAATCTTTCGAATTTGTATGTTGACGTGACTCGTTAGAGGTGTGGTCTTTATTTTGGAATAATGTCATATTTCAGAAAAGTTGCAAGAAGAGTACAAAGAACTCTTTGTACTCTTAACAGCGACTAGCCAGTTGTAAACACCCCACTGCGTTCACCCCCAACCTCATTTCTTGCCAACCCTCCCTCCTTTTCAACAAGTCAGTATTTTACGTGTTTCTCCCTTGGCTTGGGTGGACACCCCGCTCCTAGCCTGGCTGATTCTTCACACTGCAGGCTTCAATCACTCCTAGAAGACGTCCTCCACTCCCAAAATGAGACTTCTCTGAAACGGCAAGGACCACCAACCAAAGGGGACAAAACTGACGCCTCACCGAGCGCCTCCCACCGCGGCTTGGCGGCCGACTGCCGGGGGAGGAGGGGGCGTGGCCCGAGAGCGGAAGTGCCCGGAACCCGGAAGTGCGAGCTTGCGCGCCGCTGCCGTCTGGGAGTTCTCGGAGTAAGAATGGCCTTGGAAGGGACGAACAAACGGAAGAGAAAGAGAAGTGTCGAGGAGGGGTGAGTGGCGCGCGGCACGAGTAGCTGGGGAGGGATGTTGTACGTTCCCTCGTGCTGGCGAAGCGGTGGTGCGTGGCGTGGCTGAGTTTCTGGCGTCCGTTTCTAGAGAGAACCCTGACGACGGCGTTCGCGGGAGTCCGCCGGGAGACTACAGGGTTGGACAGGTCGCCAGTAGCTTATGCCGCGGCGAGCACCATTCCAGAGGTGACACCGGTCGGCTGGCGGCCCTCTTCAGTTCTCTGGAGCCCCAGATTCAACCCGTGTACGTGCCTGTGCCTAAAGTAAGTCACTGGGCTTTCTTCCCGAATAGCTGGTTAAAACCACTTACATATGAAACAGGCTTCTTACCTACCGCGTGAAGCGCGATTTCTAAAGGGGGCACACAGGATTCATTGTAAGTTACCTTTCATGACTCTTACATACCAGTGAGAGAGAAGAGATGCTCATTTAGAAAGACCACTAAATTATGGCTTAGGGTCAGAATTCTAAAAGGATGGGGTCTCAAATGTAACTTCAAACTTTTAAAAAGGAAACCATCAAAAAAAGGAAACGGAATGAGGAGGAAGAAAGTACATCCCAGATTGAAAGACCACTTTTGCAAGAACCTGCAAAAAAAGTGAAAGCAAAGAAGAAACACACTAACGCAGAGAAAAAGTTGGCAAACAGGTTGGTAAAATTCTCTTATTTGATGTTAAAGAAATTAGGTGGTAAAGAAATTAACATTCCTATACCTGCAATATTCGTCTTAGTTTTCTCATTTCATATTTTTACTTTTCAAAACTTTTATTATGGAAAATCCAGTACATGTAGAAAAGTTGAAAAGGCTGAGAAACCCCATGTACTCAGCATCAGCAAATTAATACTTGGCCAACCCTTTTGTATTTTTACCCCACTCATATACCCCCTCATTATTTGTTTTTGTTTGTCTGTTTTGAGATGGAATCTTGATGCCATGCCCAGGCTGGAGTAGAGTGCATTGATATCAGCTCACTGCAACCTCCCCTTCCCAGGTTCAAGCGATTCTCCTGCCTCTGCCCGAGTAGCTGGGACTACAGGTGTGCGCCGCCATGCCCGGCTAATTTTTGTATTTTTAGTCGAGACAGGGTTTCACCATGTTGGCCAGGCAGGTGTCGAACTCCTGACCTCAAGTGGTCTGCCTGCCTAGGCCTTCCAAAGTGTTGGAATTACAGGTGTGAGCCACCACCCCCAGCCACCCCCTTGTTATTTGGAAGCAAAAGGAAAACTTATGTTTCATCTATAAGTATTTCAGCATATATATAAAAGAGTTTGGTTTGCTTTTTTTTTTTTTTTTTTTGAGACAGAGTTTTGCTCTTTTTGCTCAGGCTGGAGTGCAGTGACCTGATCTCAGCTCACTGCAACCTCGGCCTCCCGGATTTAAGTGATTCTCCTGCTTCAGGTCTCCTGAGGATCTGGGATTACAAGCGCCACCCTGCCCGGTTAATTTTTTTTGTATTTTTAGGAGAGACAGAGTTTCATCATGTTGGCCAGGTTGGTCTTGAACTCCTGACCTCAGGTGATCCACCTGTCTTGGCCTCTCAAAATGCAGGGATTACAGGCATGAGCCACTGTGCGGCCTGGTTTACTGTTGTCTGGTTGGTTTTGTTTTGTTTTGTTTTGTTTTTGAGGTGGAGTCTCACTCTGTCACCCAGGCTAGAGTGCAGTGGTGCAATCTCGGCTCACTGCAACCACTGCCTCCCGGGTTCAAGTGATTCTTCTGCCTCAGCCTCCTGAGCAGCTGGGACTGTGGGCGTGCGCCACCACACCCAGCTAATTTTTGTATTCTTACTAGAGACGGGGTGTCACCATATTGACCAGTCTGGTCTCGAACTCTTGACCTCATGATCCACCTGCCTCAGCCTCCCAAGGTGCTGGGATTACATACGTGAGCCACCGCACAAGTATGTAATTTAAGAATACGTTTGGTGTTCTTAAATTTATTCTTTACCCTCATTAACATTTTTTTTTTTTTTGAGACAAGGTCTGGCTCTGTCACCCAGGTTGGAGTGCAGTGGTGTGATTGTCGCTCACTGCAACCTCTGCCTCGTAGACTCAATCCAGCCGCCCACCTCAGCCTCCTGAGTTGCTTAGACTATAGGCATGCACCACCATGCCTAGCTAATTTTTGTATTTTTTGTAGAGACAGGATTTTGCCATGTCGCCCAGGCTGGTCGCAAACTCCTGGACTCAAGTGATCCAGGCAGCATTTTTTTTTTTTTTTTTTTAGTTAGAAAAATAGAGACAGGGTCTCGCTATGTTACCCAGGCTAGTCCTGAACTCCTGCGATCAAACCATCCTCCTACCTCCGCCTCCCAAAGTGCTAGGATTACAGGCATGACCCACCATGCCCGGCCAGCATAACGTTGTTTAACAGTGTATTTGAATCATGATCCAAATAGTGATCCCATCACATGTACCTAGGTAACAGTCTTCATTCCTCTCTTCTTTGTCACTCTCCTCAAACCCCTTATTTCCTTTTCCCTTTTCTCCTTTCAACTGAAGACCTTTTTACCAGTTCTGGAGCTATTAATCACTAATAGTTGGGAACTGCTATTTTTGTCCTCCTATTTAAACTTAATGTATCTGTACAAAGCCTTATTTCTTCCCCTCTTTCTTAGGTGTCTTCCCTCTTGTCCAATATTAACTCAACCACCTGGTTGCTGTGTGTACCGTGTATGTTCTTCTGCCTTTTTAGGGACTGTGCCGTCAGATCCATCCACATTCCCCTCTTTCCCTTGTCACTCTTTTTTTTGTTGTTGTTGTTTTTGTTTTGAGATGGAGTTTCGCTGTTGTCGCCCAGGCTGGAGAGCATAGTGCAATTTTGGCTCATTGCAACCTCCGCCTCCAGGTTCAAGCGATTCTCCTGCCTCAGCCTCCTGAGTAGCTGAGATTATAGGCACCCACCACCACACCCAGCTAATTTTTGTGGTTTTTCAGTAGAGATGGGGTTTCACATGTTGACCAGGCTGGCCTCGAACTCCTGACCTCAGGTGATCCCCCAGCCTCAGCCTCCCAAAGTGCTGGGATTACAGGCGTGAGCCACCATGCCCGGCCCGGCCCTTATCCCTCTTTCTACTATGTAGATGTGGTCAAGATTCTAATCTTTAAAAAGGACATTCCCCCCAACCACCAAAAAAAAAAAAAACCCTTATAATTGCATGTCTCTGTTTGCTGCCATTCCCACAGTCCTTCCCTTCAGTCTAGCTTTTAGGAAAAGTAGTCTGTTCTTTTACTTTCTCTCTTTTCTTGACTCTGTTCACCCTTCCACGCACTTGCATTCTGATGGTGGCGGGTTTTATTCTGTGTCCTGACTGTGCCACTGAAGCTGTGCTCACTGAGGCCACCCTGACCTCTCTGACATATGTAATGGGCAGTGCAGCTTTTGTCTTATGAGTCCTCTGTTACCCTTCACGTAGCTGCTTTTCTGGTTGAAGCTGCTGGATTCTGTGAGAGAAATCTCTTCTGATTGTCCTCTTGGCCAATTCTTTCTTGGAGTTATTGTGCTATCTTTTCCTCTGACTACTCTTTAAACGTGCATTTCCCTCAGGGGTCTCATTCTTGGTCATGTTCTTGTGACCCTTTGTCACCCTTTGTTGGGGGCAGTATCTCTTGTGCCCACCGTGATCTCTCTCCTGATCTCCAGACATGTATGTTTGTTTGCCTCCTGGCATTTGCACCTCTTTTTCCCTATGTACCTCCAGGTAAGAATGCTCCACTGGGAGCTCATCATTCTCATCAGACCTGTTCCTTGGCATGAGTGCTACCACTAGCCTTCTAGTTGCCTAAGTTAGTGGCCTGAGAGTCATCCTGTCTTCTTTCCTCTCCTTGCTTAGCTAATCAGTTGCCAAGTCCTGATGATGCTGTTTTTTAATTATCTCTTTAATCTGCCTTTTCCTCTTCACCTCCTTCCCTGCTCTGGTCAGTCTGATCAGTCTTCTCAGATACTGTTGTAACCATATCCTTACTAGTCTCCCTTCTCCAACCTTATCCCCTTTCTAATTACCTTCCACTCTTCTGCCCAAATGATCTTTTTTAGATGCTCTCAGTCTTCAGTGTCTCCTCATCTTCAATAGGATAAAATCTAAGCACTTTTGTGCAACACTGAAGGTCCCTCCTGACCTAGTTCCCACCTCACTGTACTGTCTCATTTCCTTTCACTCCTGCTAGGCACTTTATATACTGTAGCGAGCAAAACACTAGACATGGACCCTGTCCTCAAGGGAGGAGTAATGACAGCCAGACACTGATTTCCTCTTCTGAGAAGCCTTTCTTGTTTTTGTGTGCATACCATGTATCATAGCTGTTACCATTTTATTGTGAACTTGGTCTGTCTTTTCACTAGACTACTGGAGGCCTTTGATTGTTTATCTTTGTATCCTCAGAGCCTAGAACTGAGTAGGAACCTGGTAAGTATTTGCTGATAAGTGAGTCATTTTTATGATTCTTACTGGCTCTTCTCTTCCCTCACTCCTTAATATCCTTTAGTTCTCCTTTCAGATTGATGCTCAGACCTTGCTTATCCATATCCAGCAATACTTTATATTGTATTTACCATTTCACAATTTACTTTTGGTAAGAGTCCTTTAAATATTACAGAAGTATGAGAAGTAGGGAATCTGGTTTTTCCTATTGACCATGTTGCTTGTACAGAGTAAGTACTCTGCTGCCATATTAACCTTTTTAGAGTCTCAGGGAGTGTGATAGTGCCCCTAAAGGTCTAGAGTAGAAAATGAAATTAGGCATTGATAGAGTGTAAACTAAATCTCCAAGAGCTTTAAGTGAATCAGCTTCTGTTTAGATGAACTTGCTGCTGCTGTTGCCTGGCAGATTTAACGTGTTCAAAAATTGAGCTTCACTTATTCTTGCCTGCAGTGGTTCATGCCTGTAACCCTAGCACTTTGGGAGGCTGAGGTGGGCGAATGGCTTGAGCTCAGGAGTTCAAGACCAGCCTGGGCAACATAGCAAAACCCTGTCTCTACGAAAGAAATATAAAAGGAAACCGGGCGTGGTAGCTCATCCCTGTAATCACAGCACTTTGGGAGGCCGAGGCACGCGGATCAAGAGGTCAGGAGTTTGAGACCAGCCTGGCCAACACAGTGAAACCCCGTCTCTACTTAAAAAAAAATTAGCTGGGCGTGGTGGCGGGCGCCTATAATCCCAGCTACTTGGGAGGCTGAGGAGAATTGTTGTGAACCAGGGAGGCGGAGGTTGCAGTGAGCTGAGATTGCACCACTATACTCCAGTCTGGGTGACAGAGCTAGACTCTGTCTCAGAAATATGTGTATATGTATTTGTGTATATGTATAAAAGGCTCACACCTTTAGTCCCAACACTTTGGGAGGCTGAGGTGGGCAGATCACTTGAGGTCAGAAGTTCAAGACCAGCCTGGCCAACATGATGAAACCCTGTCTCTACTAAAAATAAAAAAATTAGCCGGGCGTGATGGCAGGCACCTGTAATCCCAGCTACTTGGGAGGCTGAGGCAGGAGAATCACTTGAACCCGAGAGGCAGAGGTTGCAGTGAGCCGAAATTGCACTATTGCATTCCAGCCTGGGTGACAGAGCAAAACTCCATCTCAAAAAAAAAAAATGTAGCCAGGTGTGGTGGCATGCGCCTGTGGTCCCAGTTACTTGGAATGCTGAGGTGGGAGGATTGCCTGAGCCTGGGAGGTCGAGGCTGCAGTGAGCTGTGATTACGCTGCTACATTCCAGCCTGGGTGACAGAGCGAGACCCTGTCTCCAAAAAAAAAAAAAAAAAAAATTTTGATATTTTTGTGAGTGGTAAATCTAGGAAAATTCAGAAGACATTGGAAAATATTTCTAATTGAGAAGGTAGGGCTGCGCTTTGTCAAATACTAAATCTACCTGGTATGACTCTTACTGCTTATTTTGTTTTATTTTTTGCCTTAAAAAGGGAAAGTGCTCTAGCGAGTGCTGATTTAGAAGAAGAAATTCACCAGAAACAAGGGCAGAAAAGGAAAAATTCTCAACCTGGTGTTAAAGTAGCAGATAGAAAAATACTTGATGATGTAGATGACACAGTTGTCTGTCAAAGAAAGAAAATTCAAATCAACGAAGAAGAAGAGAGATTAAAGAACGAGAGAACTGTATTTGTTGGGAATTTGCCTGTTACGTGTAATAAGAAGGTAAGTTTGTGTATAGTAAAATTTCAGAGAAGTTAATAACTTTGTTCTTCCTGTGTTGAATAAGCATTGAATAATAAGTCATGGATATAACTTCATTGTAAATTATTACATAAATCATCCTAATATAAATGGATTTCGATATCCACCCCCTCCTTTGCATTCCTGCAGTCCCTGCCCTAATTCAGGCTTTTGCAGGTTATATTTGAATACTGCGGTAACATCCTGCCTGGTTTCTGTCTTTCAGCCTTGTCTCCTGTTACGTGCCACTAGAATATAAGCTCCATGTGTTTAAAGATGTTTTTCTTTTTTCTTTTCTTTTTCAAGATAGGTTGTCACTGTCACCTAGGCTGGAGTGTAGTGGCATGATCATTGCTCACTGCAGCCTCAAACTCCTGAACTCAAGTGATCTTACTGCCTCAGCCTCCTGAGAAGCTGGGACTACAGGCGCATGCCACCACGTCTGGCTACTTTTTGTTTTTGTGGAGACAGGTTCTCGCTATGTTGCCCAGGCTGGTCTCAAACTCCTGGGCTCAAGCGATCTGCCCTCCTTAACCTCCCAAGGTGCTGGGACTTCAGGCATGAGCCACTGGGCCTGATCCTCTTTTTTCATCATTCTGTCTCTCTTTTTTTTTTTTTTTTTTTTGAGACAGTCTCGCTCTGTCTCCCAGGCTGGAGTGCAGTGGCGTGATCTCGACTTACTGCAAGCTCCGACTCCCGGGTTCACACCCTTCTCCTGCCTCAGCCTCCTGAGTAGCTGGGACTACAGGTGCCTGCCACCACGCCTGGCTAATTTTTTGTATTTTTAGTGGAGACGGGGTTTCACTATGCTAGCCAGTATAGTCTCGATCTCCTGACCTCATGATCCACCTGCCTCGGCCTCCCAAAGTGCTGGGATTACAGGCGTGAGCCACCGTGCTCAGCCTCATTCTGTCTCTTGACACCTGAAATGGTGCCTTGTGCATAGTAAATATGTGTTGTTTAAAGAATGACGATGTCCTGCGTTTCTTCCATTGTGTGAGGATCGCTGAAGCAAAACCTGCCCTTTGTTTCTGCATGTTCATGTGATAGTAACTGTTGCAATCCTGCTCATATCAGCATCCTGCTCATATTTTGAAGGACAATTTAAACTCTCCTTCATTAAAAACAGTAGAAAAACCTTTTTGAGACCAGGCGTGGTGTCCCACACCTGTAATCCCAGCACTCTGGAAGGCCAAGGCGGGCGGATCCCCAGAGGTCAGGAGTTCCAGACCAGCCTGGCCAACATGGTGAAACCCTTCTCTACTAAAAGTTCAAAAAATTAGCTGGATGTGATGACACATGCCTGTAATCACAGCTATTTGGAGACTGAGGAAGGAGAATTGCTTGAACCCGGGACGGGGAGGTTGCAGAAGCCAAGAGTGTGCCACTGTACTCCAGCCTGTGTAACAGAGTGAGTGAGACTCCATCTCAAAAAAAAAGTTTATTCCTGGTTTAAACCAATGTGAAAACATGAGAGAATCTATGGAAAGTATAAGTCTATCCTTAATTTACATGCGATAAAGGTTATAAAAGATTGAAAGAAAAGCATTATACATCCAATGGATACTAATAGGAGCTTGAATTATGTTTTTGGTTTTTTTTTTGAGACAGAATCTCACAAGTTTCAGTAAAATTTTTTTGTTCATCCAACTGAATAGTCACCTACTTTTCCCGAAATGTTCTTAAAACCTGGCAGTAGGCCGGGTGTGGTGGCTCATGCCTGTAATCCCAGCACTTCGGGAGGCTGAGGTGGTTGGATCACTTGAGGTCAGGAGTTCGAGACCAAACTGGCCAACATGGCGAAACCCCGTCTCTACTAAAAATACAAAAATTAGTTGAGCATGATGGCGGGCGCCTGTAATCCCAGCTACTTGGGAGGCTGAGGCAGGAGAATCGCTTGAAGCTGCGGGGGCGGAGGTTGCAGTGAGCCGAGATCATACCACTGCACTGCAGCCTGGGTGAAAGTGCAAGGCTCTGTCTCAAAAAAAAAAAAAAAAATACCTGGCAGTAAGGATTATCGGACAATTTTTCTTAATTCCCTTTTATAGCACTTATTTGATATTCTGAGGGTGAGCTAATGTGTATGTTTTTTTTTTCATTTTAGAAGCTGAAATCGTTTTTTAAAGAGTATGGACAAATAGAATCTGTACGATTTCGTTCTCTGGTATGTTTCATTCCCCCATAAAATTACATAATACTAAAATGTGTTGCATTTAGATCAGATTAACTTCTTGCTATTAGTGAGATGGTGGAACACTTTAACCTTTTGAATCAATAGGTTCAAATTTAACCCAAGAAAAGAGTTGCTCTTATTATCTACTGCTGACTCTTGAACTTTTTAAATAATGTAGTGAGTTTACTTAATAAAATGATACTCTTGCTATGAAAGCCTGCAATATACTTTGTAGGGTGGATGGGTGAGTTATTTACTGTGTCAACAGAATAGGCTGAAAAGTTAATACTGGTTATCGTTGCTGGAATCCTAGGCATTCTCTTCTTATGTCTCATCATATGCATTTAGTATGGGAGGTGGGTGTGATTGCTGCAAACAGTCCTTGTTCTCTGACAGATCAAGTGTTTAAGTCAATTTAATATTAAAACTTTTTATAGAAGTGAGTTGGATTTTACCAGCTCAGCATTCTGGACCAGTTATAGCCACATTCTTTAGAGCAGGAAATAAGTATCATTTATATTTGGTTTTCCCATACGTGATTTTGTTTTTTGACTGCATAGGCATAGTTGATGTACCATAGTGTACGTTTTTGGACACTATTGCATAATTAATGTATATTAGAATATAGGAAATGTTTATTTTGTTTTTGTTTTTTGTTTGTTTTTTTGAGACAGAGTCTTACTCTGTGTCACCCAGGCTGAAGTTCAGTGGTGGGATCTCAGCTCACTGCACCCTTCGCCTCCTGGGTTCTCATGCCTCAGCCTCCCGGGTATCTGGGATTACAGGCGTGGGCTACCACGCCCGGCTAATTTTTGTGTTTTTAGTGGAGACAGGGTTTCACCATGTTATCCAGGCTGATCTCAAACTCCTGACCTCAGGTAATTTGCCTGCCTCATCCTCCCAAAGTGCTGGGATTACAGGCATGAGCCCCTGTGCCCAGCCTTTTTCATGTTTCTAATTGCTCTTTCTCATGTGATTAGAGTTTCTCAACCTCCATGCAGTTGACATTTTGGAGTGGATAATTCTTTGTTGTTGGAGGCTGCCCTTTGTATTACAGGATGTTTAGTAACATACATGGTCTTTACCCACTAGATGCTGGTAGCGCCCCCTGCACCTCAGTGTAACAATGGAAAATATCTTCAGGAATTGTCAAATGTTAGAGGAGGCACAACTGCCCACTTCTATAGAAGTAGACATTACCCAAAGTTTTGACAGTGCCCATAATTTCTGTCAGGGTATCTATTTCCCACTCTCATCACATATCTTTTGTCTGCCCTTCTGAGTTCCATTTCCCCGTATTAGACCTTTGGCTAATGCATTGTTTGTGGGTGTCTTGTCATACCCTGATTTCAGTATATCTGCTTACTTCCATCCATTCTCACCCCAACCCTATGCTGCCTACTGATTTTTCTGTGGCATTTAGTGGCACCCAGGCTGCAGGTTTTGTGGTTGCCTTTGACTCTGCATTGGCTCACCCATGCTAGTGTTTGCCATTCCTGTCCGTTTTTCAACTGTGATTTCTTCCTAATATGAGTCATTCCTTTTCCCCTTGTCCTGCCTAAGTTATCATTACCTCCTGTCAGAATAGTTGGAGAGGCCTATTATAGTTCCTACCTTCAGTCTTCCTCTAGTTTGTCCAACAAAACACTGTCAACTCAGTCTTCCTGAAGCTCTTCTTCCCGGAACCCTTGCTGCTTTCCCTGCCTTGCATTAATGAAACGCCCTTCCCCCCGGCCCCCTCCCTGTCCCCCACCAGCCGCCACACACACACCCCTTACTGGGCCTGCTGTTGCCTTCTAACCCTTTGGGGAGCCTGCCTTGATTCTCCCCAGTCTCTAGGCTACCAGTGTGTCCCTGCTATGCATTTTACTGCACCTATCCCTCATTATAGTACTTAGTACACTCTACTGAAATTGTTATTTGCCGCCTCCACCAGACTGTAAGCTGTGATTACAAATACTGTTTGTCTGTCTTCTTGTTGGGTTACCAGCACCTGTACATTGTGTTAATTATTCTCACTGTCAGTGAAATACATCCTTAATTCTTAGCCTCACAGTTCTCCAGTGTGGCCCCGCCCATCCTGTGTTCCTCTACACATGGGTTTTCTCTCCTTTGTCCCTTTGCTGCTCTATTTGTTTTGCCTGGAATCCTTCCTTAAGGTACCTTTTTTGCCTATGAAAGTATTTTTCAGTATGCGGCTAAAATGTCCCTTCTTCAAAGCTTTTCTGATACTTTATATCATTAAATGATGTTTTTTCCTCTGCATTATTCTTGTACTTTATTGCCTTATGTTATACTTATTTATTAATATCTTCAATGGCAGGTGTAGGCCAGGTGCAGTGGCTGATGCCTGTAACCCAGCATTTTGGGAGGCCAAGGCAGATCACTTGAGTTCAGAAGTTCGAGACCAGCCTGGCCAACATGGCAAAACCCCGTTTCTACTAAAAATACAAAAACTAGCCGGGCATGGTGGCGGGGGCCTGTAATCCCAGATATTTGGGAGGCTGAGGTGGGAGAATCGCTTGAACCTGGGAGGCGGAGGTTATAGTGAGCCAAGATTGTGCCACTGCACTCCAGCCTGGGCGACAAAGTGAGATTCTGTTTCAAACACAAACAAAAAAATACAAAACCAAACAAATAATGGGATATAGACCCTGTACAGAAGGCACCCAATAAATGTGTTTTGATGATGTCATTCACATGTTGATTATTCATTTAGACATTTCTACATCTTGACTGTTTTTTGAGGTTTGAGAGTTTGACTATATTAGCAGTTTTAGCAAGATAAACTGCAAATAGAAGAAATAGTTAAAATTTCTTGGTTTTACTATGTAAACTATCAGGTTACTGAGAAAGAAAATAGGTTTTCCAGAAAAGATTTATAATAACTGCCCTACATGGCATTTACGTTCTACATGCTCCTAGATTGTGAACTTGCAGGATTGGTATCTTTTCACCTTGATCTTCTCAGTACCTGGTCACATTTGGCATGTCGTCGACAGCTGTAGTTGTTGACATGTATTTCTGCCTCTTCCGTGAAGTTTTCCTTACCTACCCCATCCACTCTTAAAGGAGACTATATGTGACTGAAAATAAAGTGAACCTGAATATAAAGGGGATTCCCATACCTGCACAATGAAAGACACCATGCATTTTTTTGCCTGTTAAAATATATAAACTCTTAGAGATACAGGTGATATGTCTTTTTATGTTATTCATCAGTTTAGTTAGACATATTTAAAAATTAGAATACACGATAAAATGTTACTTTATAAACCTTTATTTTTCCTTAACATTTTTCTTTCTTTTTTTATTTCGAGACAGAGTCTTGCTCTGTCGCCTAGGCTGGAGTGCAGTGGCGCAATCTCGGCTCACTGCAAGCTCCGCCTCCTGGGTTCACGCCATTCTTCTGCCTCAGCCTCCTGAGTAGCTGGAACTACAGGCGCCCGCCACGTCTCCTGGCTAATTTTTGGTATTTTTAGTAGAGATGGGATTTCACCGTGTTAGCCAGGATGGTCTCAATCTCCTGACCTCATGATCCACCCGCCTCGGCCTCCCAGAGTGCTGGGATTACAGGCTTGAGCCACCGCGCCCGGCCTTTTCCTTACATTTTTCATGTGTCTTTCATCGTCGGTGTCTCTTCCTGGTGTCCTCTCTGTTGGAGTCATCTGATGCAATTTGAGAGCCCAGAATCTTAACCTCTGTCTGGGTTTTTGAGCCTTTTAAATCTGAGCATGATGGTTTCGTTGGAAAAGCTTATCCTAAGCCACAAGCTTCATTTCATATAGCATTAGGATGATTGGCCAGGGACAGTGACTCATGCTTGTAATCCTAGCACTTTGGGAGGCCGAGGTGGGCAGATCATGAGGTCAGGAGATCGAGACTATCCTGGCTAACATGGTGAAAGCCCATCTCTACTAAAAATACAAAAAATTAGCCGGGCGTGGTGGTGGGCACCTGTAGTCCCAGCTACTCGGGAGGGTGAGGCAGGACAATGGTGTGAACTCGGGAGGCAGAACTTGCAATGAGCCGAGATCATGCCACTGCACTCTAGTCTGAGCGACAGTGTGAGACTCCGTCTCAAAAAAACAGAAAAAAAGAAATACATTAGGATGATTGTTTTTGATTTGTTTATTTCCCTGGAATGTTTTTGATCACAGTGTACTGGAGTTGGATATTTAGACTTCACTTAAAATATTAATTTGAGGTAATATTTCAAATACTGTCTTTAATACTTTTTCTTTCTCTTAAAAGATTCCAGCAGAGGGAACTCTATCCAAAAAGCTGGCAGCAATAAAGTAAGTCTATAATTAGAGGAAGGGAATCACCTTAAACTTTCTTCCTTTGTGGCTAAAAAGTGAGACCATTTCTTAACAGTTTCATATATTTTATTAATATAGTTGGATAATAGAGCATGCTTGACTATTTGCTTCTGTATTTTAGAGCCTTTAAATTTGTCACATGTTTTTCTTTAAGCCATAATGTAAATTATAGAGTCGTAGAAAATATTACTGGAAATTGAGCCATGGAAATTTTACGAATGTTTTTAGTGTTTGGAAGCGACTGTAAAGCTTCATGCCTGAATTTTCTCATACGGATTACAAATGCCTTATTTCCTGTGTTTTTCCGGAGAGAATTCACGTTTGCTTGTGCTGGTCACCTGGGTATACTGCCGGCCGGTGACCACTTGACATTCTCTGTCTGAGGGTTTTGGACCATCTTGGTAATGGCTTGTTTCCAGTGCTCGGGATTTTTTTGTTTCCCACTCAGTGCCAAGAATGAAACATACAAGTCTCCTTGTTCGCCCTTCCATATGGAAGGCTTATTTTTCACTTACCTTCAGCTTTATGCTGGTTTCCTATTAGTCTCATATCTTGAGTGTTTTTCTGTATTAATGGTACATGAAATGATGAAGTTTATGATCAGAGATTTCTATATTAGATAAAATATAATGTACTTTAGAAACATTTCTGGGAATCCTGTTTTATCAAACTTTTGTATGACAACAGTCCCTTTGGACATCTTGGTGACTCCATTTCAATGTTCAGTCTTCATTTGGAGTTATTTCGCCAACCAGGTCTTCGCCAGTTTTTCCTCATAACCATCACAGCGCCAGGTGTATAGTTCAGATTTGTTGAATGTATAGGTTCCCACAGTGTTTGCGGAGGTAACCAAAGATGCAGATCCTGCTAGATACCAGGCATTGTTCAGTGCTGTGGATACTAAAAGCTTTAGTAAGATACAACCCTTCTTTTTGAGTCATACTTTTATTTCTGTATGAGGTTGAAACCCAGGAGCCTAAATTTGAACAGAAACAGAGGTTCTGATAGGTGTATGTACAAGTACTACTAAGGAGTTTAGCGTGATATGTTAGAAAATTGGAATTTTCACACCATACCGTCAGCTTCTCCTCCAGCCCCATCTCATTGTTTCTTTGTTTGTTTGTTTTGTTTTGTTTTGTTTTAACATACAAGCTCTTGCTCTGTCACCCAGACTGGAGTGCAGTGGCAAGATCTTGGCTCACTGCAGCCTTAAACTTTTGGGCTCAAGTGATGCTCCCATCTCAGCATCCCCAGTAGCTGGGACTACAGATGTGCACACCACCCTGGCTATTTTATTTTATTTTATTTATTTGTTTTATTTTATTTTAATTTTAATTTTTATTTAATTTAATTTATTTTATTTATTTTATTTTATTTTATTATTTTATTTTATGACACAGAGTCTCACTATGTTTTTCAGGCTAGTCTTGAACCCCTGGCTTCAAGCAATCCTTCTGCCTCAGCCTTCTAAAGCAGTGGGATTATGAGCATGAGCCACTGCCTTTTTGTTGTTGTTTTTAATTCTAAATGTAATGATGGCTGGATGTGGTGGCTCGCAACTGTAATCCCAGCACTTTGGGAGGCCGAGGTGGGCAGATCACGTGAGGCCAGGAGTTTGAGACCAGCCTAGCCAACATGGCAAAACACTGTCCCTACTAAAAATAGAAAAATTAGTAGGGTGTGGTGGCTTATGCCTGTAGTCCCAGCTACTTGGGAGGCTGAGGCAAGAGAATTACTTGAACCCAGGAGACGAAGGTTGCAGTGAGCCCAGATTGTGCCATTGCACTCCACCCTTGGCAACAGAGCGAGACTCTGTCTCAAAGTAAATAAATAAAAAAAATTTAATTATATACCTTTTCTCTAGTCAACCAATTCCCTACCCTAGGCAAGTGTTTTTAGTTTCTTATGTAAGCTTCTACAGATATCTTAGCATTTAAAAACTGATACACATACATGTTCTTCTTTCCACATAAAACATTTTAACTCACTGGTATTCAACATATACACTACTCCACACTTTCCCTTTTTCTACTTGGTACAACTTGGAGATCTGTTTATATTGGTGTGAAAGTGATTATTTTTATAGCATTTTTTAAAAACGCCCTTTTTCTTAGAGTATTCTGTAGGTGTACCTTAATTTATTTTATCAAATCTCCCACTGATGGACGTAAAGTTTTTTCCCAGTCTCATGGCCATTACAAATAATGCTAGAGGCCGGGTGCGGTGGCTCATGCCTGTAATCTCAGCACTGTTAGAGGCCAAGGCAGGCAGATCACTTGAGCCCAGCACCTCCCTGGGCAAAATGGCAAAACCCCATCTCTACAAAAAATTAACTGGGCATGATGCTGTGCACTGTAGTCCCAGCTACTTGGGAATCAGATGAAGGAATACCTGAGCTCAGGAGGTGGAGCTGTGATTGCGCCACTGGCACTCCAGCCTGGGTGACAGAGTGAGACCCTGTCTTCAAAAAATAAAGTAAAATAAATAACCTTGCTGTAATATTTTAGCTGGTCATGGAGGCACGACTCTGTAGTCCCAGCTACTTAGGAAGCTGACGTGGGATGATGACTTGAGCCCAGGAGCTTGAGGCTGCAGTGAACTGTAATCACACCACTGCACTGTAGCCTGAGCAACAAGCAAGACCCGCTCTCTCAAAACAAAACAGATAATGTCGGAGTAAATGAGTGACCTTGTACTCAGGTAATTTTGTACATGAGCTAACTTATATGTAGGATAAACTTCTAGCAGTGGCATTGCTCAGTCAGAAGGGCATTTGCATTCATAATTTTGACTGCTGTCTCGTAGAGATTGCAACCTATTTATGTTCCCACATCTTTACCAACAGTAATGTTTTTTACTTTACAAAAACGGTATGTTGGCCAGGGAAGATGGCTCGTGCCTGTAATCCCAGCACCTTTGGGATGCTGAGGTGGGTGGATTGCTTGAGCCTAGGAGTTTGAGACCAGCTTGGGCAACATGGCGAGACCCCATCTCTACAAATAAATACAAAAATTAGCTGGGCAAGGTGGTGCACGCCTGTAGTCCAGCTACTCTGGGGGCTGAGGTGGGAGGATCACTTGAGCCCAGAGGGTGGAGGCTGCAGTGAACCATGATTGCACTACTACCCTCCAGCCTGGATGACAGAGTGAGACCCTATCTCAAAAAAAAAAGTACGTTTTTGAGCTTTGTGGTTGTTGGAAACCTGATAGTTGAGTGTGGTATTTCTAATTTGAATTTCTCTTATGAGTGAGCATCTTGTCATGTAATTTAAGAGTCATTTGTGCTTTGTTTTATTTGCATTACTAATCTTACTGATCTGTGGGATGTTCATGAAATCAGCCTTTTGTGACATGAATTGTAAATATTTTTTCTCTATTTGTCATTTGCTATTTATTTATTTAATTTATTTTTTGAGACGGAGTTTTGCTTTTGTTGCCCAGGCTGAAGTGCAATGGTACGATCTCAGCTCACTGCAACCTCTGGTTCCCTGGTTCAAGTGATTCTCCTGCTTCAGCCTCCTGAGTAGCTGGGATTACAGGCATGTGCCACTACGCCTGGCTAATTTTGTATTTTTAGTAGAGACGGGGCTTCCCCATGTTGGGCAGGCTGGTCGCGAACTCGCGACCTCAGGTTATCTACCCCCCTCAGCCTCCGGAAGTGCTGGGATTACAGGCATGAGCCACCGTGCCCGGCCCTTTTTTTATTTTTAGGAGATAGAGTCTTGCTTTGTTCTCCAGCAGGAGTGCAGTGACTCAATCATAGTCCACTATAGCCTGGAATTCCCTTTGCTCAAGTAATCATTCTGCCTCAGCCTCCCGAGTAGCTGGGACTACAGGTGCACACCACCACACCCCAGCTCGTTGGCTTTTTGACTTGGCTTATGGGAAATTTTGCCATGTAAAACTTTTTTCCTTTTTCTTATAGCCAAAATGTTTAAAACTTTTTTTTTTTTTTTGGTTTATTAAGGCTACTTCCAGTAAACTACACATATATGACATGTACAGTTTTATGATTTTAACATATGTAGGCAGTCTTGAAATCACTGCCATAGTCCCAATACTGAACGCTTTATCTCCCTGAGTTTCTTCCTAACCCTCTGCAATATGTCCCTCCACCTCTGTCCTCAGGTAGCCACTCACTTGCTTTCTGTCTCTATGTGTTAGTTTGCCTTTTCCAGAATTTTATGTAAGTAGAGTCATCATACAGGGTGTACTCTCGTCTAACTTGCTCGGAATAATGATTTTGAGGTTTGTTTTTTTGTGGGGGAGGGTTGGTGGAGGGGAACAGTGTCTTGTGCTGTTGCCCAGGCTGGAGTCCAGTGGCAGATTATGGCTCACGGCAGCCTTGATCACCTGGGCTCAAGCAGTCCTCCTGCTTCCGCCTCCTAAATACCTGGGACTACAGGTGCTCACCACCACACCCGGCTGATTTTTTAAAGTTTTTAGTAGAGCCAAGGTGTCACTATTGCCCAGACTGGTCCTGAACTCCTGAGCTCAAGCAGCTCTCCTGCCTTTGCCTCCCAAAGTGTTGCAATTATAGGCTTGAGCCACCGTGCCCGTCTGAGATTTGTTCTTATTATTGCAATGCATTGGTAATTAATTCGTTTTTATTGCTCAGTAGTATTCCATTGTATGACAGTACCATTTGTTTATTCACCTGTTTATTGTGTTGTGTTGTATTGTATTTATTGTGATGTATCGTATTGTATTGTGATGGAGTCTTGCTCTGTCGCCCAGGCTGGAGTGAGTGGCACCATCTTGGCTAACTGCAACCTCCACCTCCCAGGTTCAAGTGATTTTCATGCCTCAGCCTCCCGAGCAGCTGGGATTACAGACACATATCCACCATGCCCGGCTAATTTTTTCATACTTTTAGTTGAGATGAGGTTTTGCCATGTTGGCCAGGCTGGTCTAAAACTCCTGACCTCAGGTGATCTGCCCACCTCGGACTGCCAAAGTGCTGGGATTATAGGAGTGAGCCACCGCACCTGGCCCCATTCACCAGTTTATGAACATTCAGGTTATTTCAGCCTTTGGCTGTTATACATAAAAATGCTAAAAAGATTTGGGTACGGATCATTTCTCTTGAGAAACTGCCTGGTGGGATTGCCGGATCTTATGGTATATTTTAACTTTCTAAGAAACTGCAAAATTGTTTTCCAAAGTGCTTGTACCATTTCACATTCCTACCAGCTATAGATGAGAATGTCAGTTGCTTCACATCCTCACCAGCACTTGGCATCGTCATTTAATTTTAGCCATTCTAAAGGTTTGCCAACCACAATGACTACAGATGTTAAGCATCTTATGTGCTTACTATTTGTATCTATTCTTTGCTGAAATGTTGGTACAAAAATTTTGCCCATTTTTTAGTGACCTTTAAATTATTTTTATACAATTGTAAGGAGTTATTTATATATTGTAGATATAACACTTTTTCCTGCTATGTGTGTTTCAGATATTTTGCTCCAGTTTGTGGCTGGCTTTTTTAGAGGTGTCTCTCTCTGTCGCTAGGCTGGAGTGCAGTGGTGCGATCCCAGCTCACTGCAACCTCCGCGTCCTGGGTTCAAGTGATTCTCCTGCCTCAGCCTCCCAAGTAGCTGGGATTACAAGCGTGTGCCACCACACCTGGCGAATTTTTGTATTTTTAGTAGAGACTGGGTTTCACCATATTGGCCAGGCTGGTTTCGAACTCCTGACCTCAGATGATCCACCCACCTCAGCCTCCCAAAGTGCTAGGATTACAAGCATGAGCCACCGCGCCCGCCCAGAGGTGTCTCTTAGAGATTGAAAGTTGTAGGTTTTATCAAAGATCTCATTTAGAGAGTGCTGTTGTTGGCCAGGCACAGTGGCTCACACCTGTAAGTCATTACTTTGGGAGGCCAAGGCTGGCGAATCACCTGAGGTCAGGATTTCAAGACCAGCTTGGCCAGTATGGTGAAACCCTTCTCTACTAAAAATACAAAAATTCGCCGGGTGTGGTGGCAGGCATCTGTAATCCCAGCTACTCGGGAGGCTGAGGCAGGAGAATCGCTTGAACCCGGGAGTTAGAGGTTGCAGTGAGCCGAGATCGTGCCATTGCCCTCGAACCTGGACTACAAGAGTGAAACTCCATCTCAAAATAAAGAGTGCTGTTGTTTGTCATTTGCTTGGTAGTCTGGTGGGAGTGGGCGCAGCAGGGTCTCTGCTGTCTTGTCTTAGTGTTTCTGTGTCTCAGGAGTGCACCTGATCAGGGCATTTTTCCTGGGGCAGCCAAGCTGTGCCAGATGCCTTGTACCTTTAGTGGGGATTGTGCAGAGGATGTTTCCCACCTCTCCCCTGGTAGCTGGACTCCTCCCTTCCTCCGGCTGTAGGGGTCTTCTCTGTGCCCTGGAGTGACAGGGTTTGCTATCCCTCCCCTAGCAGCTTAGCCTTCTCCTCCATCCAGAGAAGAATCCAGGTGGGGCTTTGTGCCTTTCCCACACTTTGGCCATTCCGTCCTCCAGTCCTGCAGCACCCATGGCTGCGATGTCAGCCTTTCCCACAGAGTGGAGGTCATTGGGGCAGATCGTGAGGATGGGTGCACACTCCTGCGTCAGCAGCCTCCAGGACTTCTGTTTCAGGCCCAGCCCACACTGACCTCTAGTGTTTTAGTGAGATCATGGTGGGAATCTTTCCTGCTTGTCTGGTGTCCAGCATTTTGCCCCTGTGCTCAGCCATCATAGAGCCAGTAGAGCCAGTGCTTCCTCTGTCTCTCGTTGGAGGGAGCAGGCGTGTCCTTAGCTTCTAGCTGCTGGCTTTCCCCAAGACTTCAGCTCTCTGATGGCTGCAACAAAAGTTATGATGCTGTGGGTTATCTGGTTTCTTCTTAACTGGTAAGGGCAGGAGTGATGCACTTTCTGGCTTTTTACATTCTAGGTGGAAGTGGAACTCCAGCATTTGTTCCTGGGGGTGCACTAGGATGTGTTGGATTTGGATGTTGTCAGCAGCTGTGTGTTGTGTGAAAGAGCAGGGCTCTAGAGTCAGCTAGACTTGGTTTCAGTCCTAGGCCAGCCACTTGTTGCGGTTTCATCACAGTCACGTACCTCTTTCAGTCTCAGCTTCCTTACTCATAAAATCAGAAAAAAAAAACACCTGTTGGAGTTGTGAGATTAAATGAAATACATTAAATATCTAACTGAGTGTCTGGTATATATTAGGCATTCAGTAAATCACAGCTGGTTTAATCAATACAAAAGCATTAGTGTAGTATATTATTACAGAATGCCATGAGTCATGTCAAGCACTGTTTTCCAGTTCCCTTCTTGATGATACTCATTTGTGTAGTAGCGTTTTTGTTACTTCAAAACAGTAGGTTGATGTCTTCAGGGAAAGATCTGTGTTCATTACTAGGTCCTTTTTGCTAACTCCTCACAACCAAATTATATCACCGTTTTGCAAACCTAGTGACTTAATGAGTTTAGGCATTTAGTAACACCAGCTGCAGTCATTGACACAGGGTAAAAACCAGTCATAACATGACTCTCTGGAAAGAACACAACACCCACCAACAGTCGTGACAAAGGGGTCACATCTGAGTCTGATCCAGCCTTTGGATGCAGCTGCCAGTTTACAAGAAATATAGAGGACAAAGGTTTGTGTTGAACTACTTGATGAGCTTGCAGTCACAAAATCCAGGCTGGGGGGAGTTCTGCAGGCCAAACAGTGAGATACAGAGATCCAGAGAAAGTTCTGTAAATTAAACAAGATTCAGAAGACATATCAGGTCAAAAGAATAGACAAGATCAAAGTATGATGTCTAAGAATAGACACTTGGCTGATAAAACCACAAAGATGTGCAGGGAAGTAGTTCCTGTAAAAATGGGAATGGTGGTTGCCTTTGGAGGGAAGGAGGGGCTGCAACTGGAAAGGGCCACAGGGAGGCTTCTGAGTGGGCTACAAGGCACATTGAGCTGTTAATTCGCTCAGCTATACGTGGTTTGTGCACTCTTCTATATGGGTGTTTTACAGTAAAGAGGAAAACTCACGTCTCACAACTGTTTGTGTGTTACATACGGACTGCAGCTAAGATGTTAGTTTTTAGTTCTTGTATGGTTCTCAGGGATTCATATACATGGTCCATCTGTTTTCTCATGGTTATGACTCTTAAGAAAGTGTGGGTTGTGTCTCCATCAATATCTTTAAGTTGTGTGTTATTTTTTGAGTTATTACTAAATATTTGTTCAAAGAGATGAAATTTCCACTCAGGAATTCTTGTCATGTGTGTTGATTAAGAGTTGAAAACAAACTGGATTTTTTCTAGTGACTTTGAGGCTAACAAACTTTACCTTGTCTCTCTTTTCTTTCTTTCTTTTTTTTTTTTTTTTGGTGTAGACGTAAAATTCATCCTGATCAGAAAACTATTAATGCCTATGTTGTGTTTAAGGAAGAGAGTGCTGCCACACAGGCGTTGAAAAGGTAATTTTATCCCTTAGGTTTGAACAGAATAATTGTCGTATAAGTATGTGTGAGTGCTTTGTTTATTCTTTGGTTTCACTTTAGCATAGATGTTTTAGTATTGAGTACTCATTTTTAACAACCATTTTCCCTTTGTATTTATAACATAGAAATGGCGCCCAAATTGCAGATGGATTTCGTATTAGAGTTGATCTCGCATCTGAGACCTCATCTGTAAGTGGTACTTGATTTGTTTAAAGAACGAAAGCTTTGTAGAGAGAAATCTTTCCTTCCAGGCATTTCCTGGAAGGGGACTGGAATCAGCAATGTGAGGGAAGCACAGAAGGAAACAGCCTATGTCCTCTGTGATTACAGAGTTGATGGCAAGAGAGGCACAAGGACCGAGGTCAACATTCCCTTCAAAAACGTAGTCCTGGCTGGGCACAGTGGCTCATGCCTGTAATCCTAACATTTTGGGAGGCCAAGGCGGGAGGATTACTTGAGCCCAGGAGTTAGAGCAGCCTGAGCAATGTAGCAAGACCCTGCCTTTACAAAAAAAAAATTAGTCAAGTGTATGATGCATGCTGATAGTCCCAGATACTCAGAAGGCTGAGGTGGGAGGATCACCTGAGACCAGAAGTTTGAGGCTGCAGTGAACTGTGATCATGCCACTGCATTCCAGCCTGGGCAACAGAGGGTGACCCTGTTTCTTAAAAAGAAACAAAAACATAGTCCTCTTCAAATAATCATAATTAGGTCAGTAGGTACATTAGACATCATCTGGTCTAACACTTTATAGACCAAGGTCTAGAAAGTTCAGTTATTCATTAGACAGTTTTTAGTACATACTCTGTCAGAGATACAGTTCTAAGACATAGTCTCAACTTCCAAGGAGCTGACAGTATATGTTAGAAAGGGTCGGAGTGACAGGTCATGTCACTTGTATAAGTACTGTCGTCAATGCACAGGATGATTTGTCAGCTCAGGATTGGGACACTTGACTTGGGGATATGCCAGGAAGAAGGGACAAGGCAGGTTTCCAGGGGAATAAATTTCATGATAGTCTTGAAAGATGAGGAGATAGAACTTACCCTGCGGAGAAGCAGGGGTAAAAAAAAGAAAGAAGAGAAGGCTTATGTAGACCAAAAGTGTTGTAAAGGCTGAGGGCCATGTCTGGGCAGAAAAACACAGTATAAATGGTGAGGACAGAAAATAATTCACTCAGGAGATGGCAAGAGCTTGATACAATTATTAGATGGGTGAGGTGTGTAAGAGTTGCTGTTGGACAAATAGGTAGAGGCCAAATCATGAAGACCTTGTTGACTGTGCTTCACGCAGAGGAGTCTGGATTTTGTTCAGGAGCTATTCTAAAAATTTAAACTCAGAGTGACATGACCAGATTTGGACTTGAAAAAGGTGCCTAGAAATGAACGAAGGACACTTAGTTCAGCCACGGAAACATAGAGTGCATTTCTGTCGATATCAAAGCAACTTAGTGGGGAAATGACAACGACCCGGATGAAAGCCCTGGCTTGACCTGGGGACCCAGTACAGGGTCAACAAACTATGGTAGAGAGCTAAGTCTACCTGCTGCTTTTTTCTTGTTAATAAAGTTTTCTTTTGACACACAGCCACAACTATTCGTTTGTGTACTATCCATGGGCTGTTCTCAAGGTATAATGGCAGAGTTGAGTAGTTGCAACAGATTCCACATGGCCTGCAAAGCCTATATTTGCTATCTGGCCCTTCACAGAGAAAGTTTGCATGCGCCCAGTGTAGCAGGCTGTTCCTGATCACTCCATGTGTCAGTGCCAGCTGTGGCAAAAAGCCACAAAAAGCCACTCCCTTCCTCTGGTACCCACACACAGTCCAGCAGGGAAGACAGAAGAAACAGAATCGAAGAACAGAATGTGTGGCTACATTAGGAGACTGGTGACCTGTCAGATATTGGGGGAAGGAGAGAGAGCGAGGATTTTCAATGACTTCCATTTTCTGGTCTAATGAGTGATTTTTATTAACTGTCTTTTTGTTTCAGAGAGACAAGAGATCGGTTTTTGTGGGGAATCTCCCTTATAGTAAGTTTGTTTAAACAAAGTACGGTTAATGTTAATAAATAACAAGGAAATAAGAACTGAGTAGTAATTTAATGTTTTGATTTAAGACTAATTTTAAAGCATGCAACGTGTTTGCCGTGGCAGCACATGTACTAAAAAGTATGCAATATAATGACTTATTATCATGGGGCCATGCTTAACTAGCTGTATCATTAAACATCTCCATGTTTCTGAGGAGCTCCCAACTCTTTACTTCCATTTTGGTTGAATTTGTTTTCAGAAGTTGCAGAATCTGCCGTTGAGAAGCACTTTCTGGACTGTGGAAGTGTCATGGCCGTGAGGATTGTGAGAGACCAAGTGACAGGCATCGGCAAAGGGTTTGGCTATGTCCTCTTTGAGGTATGGGAGACTAATGCATTGTCACTGTCCTTCGAAGTGCCCTGGGAGGCATTGATACTACTACGTGTCATCGAGAGATAACTTTCACTTCCATTCTCAAATTCCATCTTAAGAAAACTGGGCTGGGTGCAGTGACTCACGCCTGTAATCCCAGCACTTTGGGAGGCCGAGATGGGTGAATCTCTTGAGCTCAGGAGTTCGAGACCAGCCTGGCCCACGTGGTAAAACCTCGTTTGTACTAAAAGTACAAAAATTATCCAGGTGTGGTGGCGGGCGCCTATAATCCCAGCTACTCAGGAGGCTGAGGCAGGAGACTCACTTGAACCCGGGAGGTGGAGGTTGCAGTGAGCTGAGAATGTTCCATTTTTCTCCAGCCTGGGCCACAGAGCAAGACTCCATCTCAAGGGGAAAAAAAAAATACAAAAAATTAAAAAATTAGCCAGATGTGGTGGCTCATATCTGTAATCCCAGCTACTTGGGAGGCCAAGGCAGGAAAATCACTTAAACCTGGGAGGCAGAGGTTTCAGTGAGCCAAGATCACACCACTGCACTCCAGCCTGGGCGACACAGCAAGACTCCATTTCAAAAAAAAAAAAAAAAACCGGCAATGCGCGGAGGGTTGTGCCTGTAATCCCAGCACTTTGGGAGGCCAAGGCGGGTGGATCACCTGAGGTGGGAAATTCGAGACCAGCCTGACCAATGTGAATAAACCCCATCTCTACTAAAAATACAAAATTAGCTGGGCGTGGTGGCACATTCCTATAATCCCAGCTACTTGGGAGGCTGAGGCAGGAGAATCGCTTGAACCCGGGAGACAGAGGTTCTTGTGTACTGAGATCGCTCCATTGCACTCCAGCCTGGGCAACATGAGTAAATCTCCGTCTCAAAAAAAAAAAGAAAACAAGAAAACTGAATTTATAACCTGCCATAATATATTTCTACAACTGCACCTATCCAAAATATGTCCCAGTTCTTTCTTCATACTAATTAAATGTTTTAGATCCTGGATATTAGAAGGACTAAATCACTGAATCTTCTCTACCTTCTGTATGATAGAGTAAATAATTGACATTAAGGTATAAGAAAGTTTTATTCTTTGTACAAAATTAGTTATATTTAGTTCACTAATTTTTAACCAGTGTTTCATGCCTGACAATATTAAGGAGTAAAAGAATATACAGGCTGGGCATATTGACTTGTGACTGTAATCCCAGCACTTTGGAGGGCTGAGGCGCGAGGATTAAGGTGAGGACTTCAAGTTCAGCCTGGGCAACATAGGTAGACGCCGACTCAACAAAAAAAATATAGAAGTAAGGCCGGGTGCAGTGGCTTACACCTGTAATCCCACCACTTTAGGAGGCCAGCGGAGGTGGATTGCTTGAGCCCAGGAGTTCAAGACTAGCCCGGGCAACATGGCAAAATCCTGCCTCTACAAAAAAATACAAAAATCAGCTGGGCGTGGTGGTGCACGCCTGTAGTACCAGTTACTTGAGGGACTGAGGCAGGAGGATCACCTGAGCCTTGGGAGGTCAAGGCTGCAGTGAGCCACCCAATCTAGATGGCAGAGTGAGACCCTGTCTTAAAATAAGAAAAATTAAAAACTAAAAATCTAGCTGGTCACGGTGGCCAGTGCCTGTGGTCCTATCAGGAGGCTGATACACCTGGGATTGGATGGGGCTTATCTGTGCAAGCTCAAAAGTCGTTCTCGAATCTGTTAAAGTGACACTTTCACTAGTTTCTTTGCAGATGGGTTTCTGGTAGAAATTAATGTATTGTGTTTTCTTTTGATTTGCAGAATACAGATTCTGTTCATCTTGCTCTGAAATTAAATAATTCTGAACTCATGGGGAGAAAACTCAGAGTCATGCGTTCTGTTAATAAAGAAAAATTAAAACAACAAAATTCAAATCCACGATTGAAGAATATTGGTAAACCTAAGCAGGGACTTAATTTTACTTCCAAAGCTGCAGAAGGACATTCTAAAAGCTTATTTATTGGAGAAAAAGCTGTTCTTAAAACGAAGAAGAAAGGACAGAAGAAAAGTGGATGCCCCAAGAAACAGAGAAAATAGAAATAACAACCAGGAACTGCTTTTTATTTTCCTGCTGAGTACTGCTAATAAAAGTGCAGTTATCTGCTGATAGCATTGTCTGCTAATCATGTGTTGAGTTTTACACTTTTTTGTTGATGGTATATGTGAAATGTGGAGACTTCCACATTCTCAGTTTATTCACATTGTAATACTACCTTTGAAAGTTTGTTTTTTGAGGTGGAGTTTGGCTCTCGTCTCCCAGGCTGGAGTGCAGTGGCGTGATCTCAGCTCACTGCAACCTCTGCCTTCCGGGTTCAGGCACTTCTCCTGCCTCAGCCTCCCGAGTAGCTGGGATTACAGGCGCCTGCTGCCATGCCTGGCTAATTGTTTGTATTTTTAGTAGAGACGGAGTTTCACCATGTTGGCCAGGCTGGTCTCAAACTCCTGACCTCAGGTGATCCGCCTGCCTCGGCCTCCCAAAGTGCTGGGATTACAGGCATGAGCCGCCGCACCCACGCCTCCTTTCTCTTTCTTTTGCCTATTAAACCTCTGCTCTTAACCTTACTCCATGTGTGCTCAAGTTCTTGACTTCCTTGGCACAAAGCAACGAACCTTGCTTACCCCAAACAACGTTGCTTCAGTATCCAGGCTGCTCTCAAACTGCTGGACTCAAGCCGTCCTCCCAACTTGGCCTACCAAAGTGTTAGGATTACAGGAGTGAATCACTCGTCAGTTCCAAGGGGTTAGAACTCCCAGGAACTGGGGGAAAAGGCCAGCCAAATTCTTTATTACACAACCTGGTGTTACTGGAAAAGGGTCTGGATCCAGACCCCAACAGAGGGTTATTGGATCTTGCCTAAGAAAGAATTTGGGGCCAGTCCACAGAGTAAAGTGAAAACAAGTTTGTTAAAAAAAAATCAAGAAGATCGGTCGCGGTGGCTCATACCTGTAATCCCAGCACTTTGGGGGGCTGAGGTGGGTGTATCACCAGAGGTTAGTAGTTTGAGACTATCTTGGCCAACATGGTGAAACCCCATCTCTACTAAAAATACAAAAGTTAGCTGTGTGTGATGGCACACACCTGTAATCCCAGCTACTGGGGAGGCTGAGGCAGGAGAATTGCTTGAACCCAGAAGGTGGAGGTTATAGTGAGCCAAGATCATGCCACTGCACTCCAGCCTGGGTGACAGAGCAAAACTCAGTCTCAAAAAAAAAAGAAAGTGAAAGAAGGGGTACCTCATAAAATGGTACACACTCTAAAGCAAGAGAAGGAACATGTCCACCTTAGGTACAATGTTTGTATGTAACAGCAAAAAAATAATGGGGAAGATGTGCTCTACTACAGGAGCTTGTGACAAAGGATTTTTTTGTGTGTGTTTGTTGTGAGACAAGGTCTTGGCCCTGTCACCAGCTTGGACTGCAATGGTGTAATCATAACTCACTGCAGCCTCAACCTCCTGGGATTAAGGGATCCTCCCGCCTCATTCCCCATGTAGTTGGGACCACAGGTGTGTGCCACCACACCTGGCTAAGTTTTTAATTTTTTTGTAGAGGCAGGGTCTCACCATGTTGCCCTGGCTGGTGTTGAACTCTTGGGCTCAAGCTATCCGCCCATCTGGGCCTGCCAAAGTGCTGGGATTACAGGTGTGAGACACTGCCTGGTCTTTGTCAAAGGATTGTTAATTCTCTGTAACTACTGTCTTCTGCAAGAATCAATATTTAAAGGGAAAATTAAACTAAGAATGCTTTTGTTCTTAAGATACCGAGACATCAGAACATTTCCTGGGTGTGTTAGGTAAACATTATTAACTTGTTCCCTTCCCTGTAAATACTCGGTGACCAAGAATGCCAGACTTCCTGGGAATGTGCCCCAATGGGTCTCAGCCTCATTTTACCCAGTCCCTATTCAAGGTAAGGTAGCTCTGGTTCCAGTGTCTCTGACACTGATGCTTGACTTCTTTGATACCCCTCAACTTACAGTGTCTGTTTAATGCCTGCTTTCAGCCCACGGTTTTCCTTGTCAGAATATCTTAACTTTGATCATATATATATATATATAGTTGTATTGTATTTTATTTTTTTGAGATGGAGTCCTGATCTGTCACTCAGGCTGGAGTGCAGTGGCTCGATCTCGGCTCACTGCAACCTCTGCCTCCTGGTTCAAGTAATTCTCCCGCCTTAGCCTCCAGAGTAGCTGGGATTACAGGCCCACGCCACCATGGCCAGCTAATTTTTGTATTTTTAGTAGTGACAGGGTTTCACGATGTTGGCCAGGCTGGTCTTGAACTGGCCTTAAGTGATCTGCCCGCCTCAGCCTGCCGAAGTGCTGAGATTACAGGCGTGAGCCACGCGCCTGGCTTGATCATGTGTATGTTTTCATGTGGCTATAAAACAATTCACGTTTTCAATTTTTTTTCAATTGTGTATTTTTCAAGAAATTACTCCATTTAATTTTATTCCAGTTGTCATAGAATGAGGCTATCCTGTAACATTCTTTTGAAATGGAAACACTACGCACAATGGACTGTGGCAACTTGAAAGTACAGTTTAATTCAAACAAGTCACAGGCTGCCTGTGTTAGACAAGATGAAGCATTCGCAGTCCGGGACCCTGCATCCTTGTCTGCCACAAACAAGGGTGTCAGCTAGTCTTCTCAGTACGTGCACGCCAGCTACGCGCCCGCCTCGTTACAGCATGCTCCGTGGGTTTAAAAAAAAAAGTGCGCGGTCACGTGCAAATTCCCGACTCCAGTGCGTACACGAACCGGCGCACGAGCATCGGTGGCGTGGCCCACTGCGCAGCCGCAGGAGTCGCGCTTGGGACCTCTGCTCAGGCACTGCCGCGGACTACCTCGAGGCCCTTAGTTGACTGGGACCGGAAGTGGCGTGTGCTCTGCCTTTCCGAGTTCCTGGCCCGAGGCCGTCGGGTGTGAGCTGCGCCGACCTCTCTGAGGGTTCGTGGCCCACCGCTCCTTCGCCGTCCCTGCCGCCACCGTCCACGCTCAGCGTCGTAGAGAAGATGGTGGGTCGGAACAGCGCCATCGCCGCCGGTGTATGCGGAGCCCTTTTTATTGGGTACTGCATCTACTTCGATCGCAAAAGACGAAGTGACCCCAACTTCAAGAACAGGCTTCGAGAACGTGAGTGCGGTCCTTCTTCCTGGCCGGCTGCTGCCTCCGGCCGTCGCCCTCCACAAGAGGCTCCTAGCCCACCCTCCTGTGGCGCCCAGGGCGACCGCGTGGTGCGGCCCGCACATGGCCGATGGCGCTTGCAGCAGCCGCACTGGGGGCTCTACATGCCCCCGGCCAGGAATTCCCTCCATTTTGAAGGAAGGACTTCCCTGTTTTGTTTTCCCCCAACACTTTAGCCGTGTCAAATTGCATGTCTCTGGATTGTGTTACAATCGCGGTGTGCTATGGCCGTTGGGGAGGAGGTTGCTCTTTTGTCCGATTCCACTTTTTAACCTCTACTCTCTAAAAAGTCGGTCATTTTTTGTCGCGATTTTGTCTTGAGGCTAAATCCGCAATGCCTCATGCAAGCATGTGTTTTTCTTTTTTTTTTTTTTTGAGACGGAATTCTCGCTCTTCGCTTCCAGGCTGGAGTGGGCACGTGGCGCGATCCTCGCTCACTGAACCTCCGCCTCACGGAGTTTCAAGCGCCTTCCCTGCCTCCAATCCTCCCCCAGTAGCTGGGGATTACAGCGCCGCCCGCCCCACTGCCCGGCCTAATTTTGATTATAGGACCGGGATTCCCTGTTTGCAGGCCTATCTCCGAATCCGAACCTCAAGATGATCCGCCCAACTCATTGCTGCATTCTTAAACCCTCTTGGTAGCTTCGTTCTAAGTGCTTCCAAGATATGAGTGAATGCTATAGAAATTGCAGGGGAGTCCAAAGGGCTGCGCTTCTCCCTTGGCTCAGTCTTATTTCATACCTGCGACATCTTTTAAGAGAGGTCTACAAAAGGGGAATCGTGACATGAAAACCATTGGGATCCACCTTGAATTTTGGGAGAATCTTCATTTGCATCACCGAAGAGCAAATTTGTTGGAATAAGAAATATTTTTGTAGCTGATCTTGTTCCGCCAAATTAATTTTTGAAATTAAAATTGATACATAAATTACTAAAGTCCAAGGTGTACGAAGAAGGGATTATTGTTTATTTAAGTAACAGTGGTTACGATTTAATTTAGCTATACTAAGTCATTTCAAGCGTTCAATAGCCATGTGTGAGCAGTGACTCCAGCGCTGATTTTACTAGCACTTAGAATCAGACATCTAGTTCCAGCTTTCTTATGTTTTAGGAGGGAAGGGATATAGACATAATTTGATTTATGACTAGGGAGACTAATAGAATACTGTTTTGGATTCAGACCCTGAATTTCTAGGGCCAGGTTAGCGGCATAATTTGTGGTTTCTGAATCCTAATTTCCGTAGTTGTAAAATCAGGTAATGCCACCTGCCTCTTGTTGGTCTTGTGAAGATTGAGATGTTTGAATTGCCTCCCACGTTTCCTGACATGGGAAATGCTCCTCCATAAATGCTAGTAGTCAAATTTTGCCTTCAGGTTATTTTCCTGTAGTTGCCAAAATGGGTGGCAGCTGGGGGATTTGGTGCAAATGCAGAGTTATAAAGAATGGGTTAACCCTGTCGTCCGTTGGAAACCCTGAAGTCCTGTTGCAGAAACAAGAGCTATCATTTTACACAAATGGAGGAATGTTATTTCAAAACTTCTCTGTCATTTTCAATCTAAAATTTTTTTTTCTGGCCTAAGCAACTTAGTGATTACAGTGAGTTACTTAGCTGCAGCAGTAACTTTAGGCAAGTAACTTCAAGCTTTAGTTTTGTCTTTTTTAAAATGGTGTAGTGTAGAGTTTTAGTTTTAGTACTGTTCCTCACACATGGTAATTGATGAATGCTAGAGATTTTTGTTGTTGTTTGTTTGAATCTCTGTTGCCCAGGCTCGAGTGCAGTGGGATGGTCTCGGCTTGCTGCAACCTCCGTCTCCCGGGTTCAAGCAATTCTCCTGCCTCAGCCTCCAGAGTAGCTGAGATTACAGGCGCACACCACCACATCTGGCTAATTTTTGTATTTTTAGTAGAGATGGGGTTTCACCGTGTTGGCCAGG